GCACTGAGATTTTTGTAAAACTTTGCCTATTGATTGTTTATATTATAGGAACTTAAATTTTGAAATAAAAATGAGGGGTCCCCATGTTCGTTTAGCAGAAGCACCTTGTTTATACCCATATAAATCCTTATAATAGCACCATAATTGTCGCCACGATTGCTTGCTAAATTCACGTTTCCGACGATTGCTTTTTGCTCTACACTGAGAATTGGTCCATAGTTATTTTACACAGAGAAACTTATTACTCAATTCAAAACAACAGAAGAAAATGATTGGTCACCATACTTGTTTGCGAGAAAATGACGATTTACCTCTATGGCAAGGTCCAGCTGTAAAGAAAAAGCCACCATTTTTTAATGCGCGCACTAATCACCTGTGAAATTATGCGTAGTAGGGATGCGCAATGCAATACTGGCGAATAACCCTAATTGAAATTAATTAATTAAACAAACATTAAAGTTTACACCTTATTTCCGTAGTTCCTTATTGCCATAATGCCAGTGCCTTAGCGACATCAACCCCTAAACCATCCCAATAGTGCACTCCGCACTAAAAAGCAGAAGGCTCTGTAATCTTTCTTTGATGTTACTGCAGAATTTGTCTCCAGTAAATTTATAGAGTTAGAATGCTGATAGGTTTTCAGGCTTAATTATTGTTTGTTATTCTTTCTCTATCAGTTCCTTGCCTAAAACACTGACCAGACTGCACAGCCTATGTAGGCTAGTTTATATCAACTGTTTCAAGAGACACAATACGATAGATAGGCTAAGAGAAACTTTCCTGGTTTGAAATATTGCCTGTCAGGTGTGGAACAACACTACTCTTAGGGTTGTTTACCAAATACCCAAAACTTCTGGAAATTTTGGTCAGAAAGTAAATGGTAGGACAATTTTGGCTTGACCAACCAAAACTTTTTCAAAATAAATAGAACATCTTGAAAGTTAGTCCAAAAACTTCCAACCAAAATAGCAGAGTGGAAAATGTGGTTTCCACTTGCAACAAATTCATTGCCACCATCTTGGAATTATGATCAGGTCAAACTTGTCCTAGTCTCTTTCAGTAAATTGGGGTTTTTGGAGTAAATGGAAAATGGCCAATCTGAAAAGAACTTACCATCAGGAATTTTTGTTTACCATTTGCACAAATCATTGATGAATGGGTTTCATCATGTAAATGGTACACAGTCTAGGTCTTGGGTACCCGAGGAAACTTTATCAACCCTTCATGCCAGAGTACATCTGTATTTCCTGGAGTTCAGTGCTGTAATGATTAAGTCACTGCACCTTCTCCTTTATGGTCCGCATCCTCCCCCCAAAATAATGGTAAGCCCTCAAGTCTCAATACAACAACAACCGTGTAGTGATAAGCCCCAGACCCCAAACACAGCTCTTAATTTAAATAGAGTATATTTTATTACTCAAGATGCTACCATAATAATCCTACATATTAAGATGGTCATTCCAAGAAATTACAATAAAAATACAATCACTGCAAAATAATAAACTCTGGTCACGAAAAAAGTGTAAACATTAAAAAAGATGTA